GCGGAGCGGCGCCAGCCAGCACGTGCCACCCATGGCGGCGCTCGGCTGCGCGGCGAAAGGCCCTTGCTCTCTCCCACGGCGTTATCGCGGCGCCCTCCTCGCGCCGGGGTCGAACCCAGCCTCCGCTAAGGCTGCGGTAGGACTTCGGTCACTTAATTCACCCCCAAAGAGCGGGCGGCCTGAGCTCCGTGTGCATGGGGAATTGGCAAATTGGCATCAAAGTCAGCGGGGAGCGCCGGTCCGGCTGGTTGGACCCCCTGAGGGGGCTGCAGCTCCTCGGGGCAGCACCAGGGCAGGCAGTAAATCACTGCCAACTCCAAGCCAAATCGACACCCCCTCCCAAAAAAAAAACAAAAAAACCAACCCCAAACCCCTAAAAAGCAAATATTTCTGGTGGGGGTTAAGGACTCTTTGAGGCAATTAGCAAGCGTGCCAAAGCTGGAGAGCATCCCCAGCCTGCGCTTTGCTCCCCTGCCAAGGTAAACACTGACATGTTCCGCCCCGAAGCGGCAGCTCCGAGAGCGAGAACAATCCCAGGCAGTAACAAGACTCCTCGCAAGCACCCGAGACAGATGCTCGCTGTTTGCCTTTAAAGGCAAAATTTGGTGAATGCCCGGGAAGGGCCGGTCCCACCTCGGGTGGATCGCGGGGCGGCCGCAGGACCCGCTCAGGGCAGCTGAGCCGCATCCTGGGATTTAGCTCCGGGGATTTGCTCGTCGGAGGAGATCGTAGCACAGGTCTGTGGGAATGAAAAAAGCCCACTGCGCCGCGGGAGCACCGAGCCCCTCTCCAAATAAGTCCTGTTCTGCGCGCCGCGCAGGGAGGGCTCAGCACGGTGCGGGCGTTGCTTTCAGACGCACGGGCGCTGCGCTGCCAACATCCGCTCGGAGCCGGGGAACGCGCGCCGAAACGCGAGCAGCTTCCCCTTAAAGCCAGCCTGGGCTCTCCGAAAGGACAATTACCAGATTGTGGTTCTACTCCTGCCTCCAGGAATTAAGTGTATTCCTATTTCGTTCCCTTTTTCCCTTAAAAAACCTGCAAGCGAGCCCCTGCCATGGCTCGGGTGCGCTTCTGCCGCGCTCGCCGTCCCGGCAGGGCAGCTGGGACACATCCAGCGCTGCAAGGGCACGACCCAGAGGGACAAAGGCATCTCCCGATCCGGCCTTTGGGGGAGAGGCAGAAAACAGCCAGGACCCCCCCCGCTCG